GATGTGAGGTGTCAGGGAAAACAACCTATACTACTTGAAGGGCAAGACAGTTACAGGGGGTCTGGCTGCTTCTATTACCACAGAGGAGGACACTACCACACTATGGCACATGAGGCTTGGACACACAGGTGAAAAGTCCCTTCAGTCATTGGCAAAACAGGGACTATTTAAAGGTGCAAAGATCTGCAAGATGGAGCTGTGTGAGCATTGCATACTTGGGAAGAAGACTAAAGTGAAGTTTGGCACCGCAATTCACAACACCCAATGTATATTGGACTACATTCACACAGATGTTTGGGGCCCTTCTAAGCACACATCGCTTGGTGGGGCAAATTATTTTATCACTTTTATTGATGATTATTCCAGGAGGAATTGGGTATATACCATGAAGCATAAACATGAGGTCCTGGATATATTTGTGGAGTGGAAGAAGAAAGTAGAGCTGCAGACAGGTAGAAAGGTGAAGACTCTTCGTTCAGACAATGGTGGAGAGTACAAGAGTGATCCGTTTCTGCAGTTTTGCCGGGATCACGGCATTAGAAGACACTTCACAGTTCGAGAGACACCGCAACAGAACGGGGTGGCTGAGAGATTGAACCGTACCTTGCTGGAGAAGGTGCGATGTATGATGACGCAGAGTGGATTGCCTAGATCTTTTTGGGCCGAGGCGTTGGTTTATGCGAGCCATCTTGTGAACAGGTTGCCGTGCGCTGCGATAGACGGGAAGACTCCATTGGAGCGTTGGTCTGGTTCTGTGGCTAGTGATTATGAGACTCTTCGGATATTTGGGGGTCCAGCTTATTTCCATGTTAGTGATGGGAAGTTGAATCCGAGAGCGAGGAAGGCTATCTTTGTGGGATTTAGAGAAGGCGTAAAAGGTTACAAATTATGGGATCCACAAGACAAGAAGATGATCATTAGCAGAGATGTCACATTCGATGAGGCGTACATGATGAAGCCTCGAGTTCCTCAGCAGGTGGAGGAAGATCAGACAGGTGGGATATCACAGCAGGTGGAGGATGATGTGACTCCACCCACTCCAGTTGGCACTGTTCCCATTGAGACTCCTACAGAGGTGACACATGGAGGAGTTGAGATGACAGTCGGGCATTTGGGGGATACAGTGGATGGTGAGGCTCAGGAGCAGGGTCATGCTCAGGGGTCCATTGCAGCAGATAGACCGAGGAGAGAGATTCGTCAGCCAGCTAGATATGATGATGTCATGGTGGCATATGCTTTATCGGTGGAGGTCGTTGATGATTTGATTCCTGCCACATTCAGGGAGGCAGAGTCCAGCCCTGATTCCATTAGGTGGAGGAATGCTATGGAGGAGGAGATGCAATCTCTTCAGAAGAACGACACTTGGGAACTTGCACAGCTACCTAAGGGTAAGAAAGCTATTGGTTGCAAGTGGGTGTATGCTAAGAAGGAGGGATCTTCAATTGGGGACATTCGGTATAAGGCCAGATTGGTTGCCAAGGGATATGCACAGCTTGAAGGTGTTGATTACAACGAGGTGTTTTCACCCGTTGTGAAGCATTCGTCGATTCAGATACTATTGGCATTGGTGGCACAGCTGGACTTAGATTTGGTCCAAATGGACGTGAAGACGGCCTTTCTACATGGAGACTTAGACGAGGAGATCTATATGACACAACCTATGGGGTTTAAAGCTGCAGGAAGGGAAAATTTGGTGTGCAAATTGAGGAAATCTCTTTATGGACTGAAGCAATCACCTCGACAGTGGTACAAGAGATTTGATAGCTTTATGATTGGCCAAGGGTACACTAGGAGCCCTTATGACCCGTGTGTTTATATGCGCAAGCTACAGGATTGTGAGCACATTTATTTGTTATTATATGTTGATGATATGCTCATAGCTTCCAGGAACACTTCAGCTATTGGGAAATTGAAAAAGGAGCTGTCATCAGAATTTGAGATGAAGGACCTGGGAGAAGCTAAGAAGATACTGGGTATGGAGATTGAGAGAGACAGGGTGAAGGGGAGATTGAAGCTTACACAGAGGAGTTACTTGCAGAAAATGCTGAAGAAATTCAGTTTTGAGGGTAATACCAAGGTGGTGAGTACTCCATTAGCTCCCCACTTTAAGCTTTCAGCTTTGATGTCACCAGTTTCAGTGGAGGATAGGGACTACATGTCCAAAGTTCTATACGCCAGTGCAGTGGGTAGCTTGATGTATGCTATGGTGTGTACGAGGCCAGATTTGTCACAGGCCGTGAGCATGGTATCTAGGTACATGCACAACCCCGGGAAGGGGCATTGGGAGGCCGTGAAGTGGATTCTACGGTATATTAAGGGTACCGTGGACGTTGGGTTGATATTTGTGAAGAATGATGAGACAGGGCAGGATTGTATTGGCTACGTGGATTCAGACTATGCTGGAGATCTCGACAAGCGTCGGTCCACTACAGGTTATGTGTTTACATTGGCAAGTGCACCGGTGTGTTGGCGATGCACTCTTCAGTCTACAGTGGCGCTTTCTACTACGGAGGCGGAATATATGGCGGTGACTGAAGCAGTGAAGGAGGCTTTGTGGCTACATGGCTTGTTGGATGATTTGGAGATTGCACAGGAGACGATTCAGGTACATTGTGATAGTATGTCAGCTATCTATTTGGCGAAGAACCAAGTCTACCATGCACGCACGAAGCACATTGATGTCAGATTTCACTTTGTACGTGACGTATTAGATGATGGTGATGTCACGTTGGAGAAGGTCCACACTAAGGATAACCCTGCTGATATGTTGACCAAAGTTGTACCAGGTGTGAAGTTTGGTCACTGTTTGAATTTATTGAACATTCTTCGTTGTTGAGGCCGTTGGCGGCCATTTGGATGAACTACGTTCGGCTTGATTCCTTGGGCAAGAGGATACGTAGACAGTCTTGCAGATGCAGTCGGTTGAAGTCAATTGGGGGTGTTTTGGTGTCGGCTCAGTTTTGGGATAAACGTTCGCCGAGGTGGAGATTTGTAGAGTTGGTGAAAAATCAGAGGTATGCCTCTGGAAGTTGGGCGGTCGACCGGAAGTGGAGCTGCGATCGACCGATATGTGCACACAACTCTTAGTGTGCCACTGGACTTTGGGCGGTCGACCGGGCGAGGCGCTGCGGTCGACCGCGAATTGTCCAGAGAGCAGACTGGACCTCGGGATATTTTGCGGTCGACCGGCAGTGGTGCTTCGGTCGACCGACTATCGGGTTTTGGGTTTAAGTTGGTTTTCCAGACCCGTTTTCTTTGTAACTTGTATATAAACCCCAAATCTGTTCTAGGGTTTAAGCAAGGGAGATTTTGAGCTGCCATAGGGAATTTTCTAGGGCTTCTTTTGTTGGAGTCCATTGGAGAGATCAAGTGACCTTGTTTGAGGGTTTTGGGTAAGATTTGTAACCCTAATTTGTATTCCCCTTGATTTCTATTAGTGAAACTCTCCCCTCCTTGCCCCGTGGACGTAGGCACATTGCCGAACCACGTACATCTTGTGTTCTTGCTGTGATTGGTTGGCTTGTGTGCATTGTGGTCTATTTTGTTCTTGTGTGTGCTATTGTTTTGGCTATTTAAGGCTTCCGTGGCGTACAACAGTAAATAATTTTAATGATATAATTAATCCTATTTTGCCACATAATCTTCACATTGTATTCTTTTTTCAAACAAACTACCGTTTTTCACTTGGATGTTGACATGGATATAAAAATTATTTGAAAAAAATAACTTACACATTTTTAATTCACTTTCAAATTGCCTAGCACCTCCGATACTCATTCCAAGTTGCTTTCAAAAGTAAGGGTAGAAATGAACTAAATTCGAATCAATATACCACGGTCTTTGTATTCGATTAATATGCAACTATTCGAATTCATATTTGAAATAAATAGGAAATGAATAATCGAATTTGATAATATTAACATTCGAATATTTGATAACTATTCGTTAACAGTTTTTACGTAGTATTTTGTGAATTATTTGGTTCATATTCGCTAGCTATTTGATAAATATTTAATAACTATTAGTTGTCCTTTTTTTAATCTCGCCTTTGGTGCACACGAGATTCAAACGTATTTTGTGAATTATTTGGTTCATATTCGGTAGCTATTCGATAAATTTTAATAAATATTTCTTATCCTTTTTTAATCTCACTTTTGGGATGCACACGGAAATCGGACCAAGAAAATCGGACCACGAGGGAGCGACACGACTTTGCCATGTGACCTACTGGGCCGCCCCGTAAATATTCGTCATCCTATCCTAGTTTTATAATCGAGCCAAAGATGATACAACTAATGAATGTGCAACCTAGTAATAAATGTAGTTTTCACAAATAAAAAACTATTTATATGAGGTTATATGTGTAAAACTTTTGGGATGCATAGAAAATATAATAACTAAAATTTATAGGTCTAAACTATGATATATAAACGAATAAAACATATATGTTGTTAAATTCTATTTATTTATGAATCAAATATGAAAAGCCTCATATTGTTAAATGAACTATCGAATTAATATGACTAAATACTTAAGTAAATAAATACCAACCAATTTCTTAAATATTTGGTCGTTTCCACTCCTACGCTAATTAAAGACACATCACCGGTATCCACTATACAAATGACGTTTGACCACAGCCATTTAGGGCTTGTTTGGATTGAGGGGAATGAGGGTGAAGGGAAGTTAGGGGAACCATTCACCTCCATTCACCTTGTTTGGGAACACTTAGGAGGTGAAGTTAATTCACCTCCATTCACCTTGGTTCACCCCCTAATAGTATAGGAGGTGAAGTTAATTCACCTCCATTCACCTTGGTTCACCCCCTAATAGTATAAAAATTGTTACCCTCTAAATTGGAGTGTAACCAAGGGGAAAGGAATTCCCTTCCCTTCCCTTCCTTTCCCTTCCATTCACTCAGTTTCCCTTAACTTCCCTTCACCCCCTACGAATCCAAACAGGCCCTTTAAGTGGCAATTCCATTTTTAAGAGCTACACTCCAAAGCATTGTGAGGTTCACGTTGGCGGCCCCCTCTTCTGTTCTCTCGCGAGGTTCACGTTGGGGGCTGAATCTCTCTCCCTCTCCTCTCTCTCATACTGTGCAGCTCTCGAAGAATCCGCAGGGCTAACTTTTGAACTCTCGAAGAATCTCGAAGAGGGGAGAGAGAGAGGGAGAAAGAGTGATGGCTCTGCTAATGGGAACTGCTCTTTCTCTCTCCTCCTCATTTCCCCCAGTAAAGACCCAAGTTCATTATCCTCCTCATTCCAACATCAACAAGCAATTCTTTGCTCCCCAATCTTCTTCCTCGATTGTTCAGATCGATTCCATTCATCTTGATGATCCTCATCGCCATCGTCGCTTGTCCACCGGATCTCAAAGGAGGGTTTTGCCTGTAGCTCGATCAGCTGTTGTTAGCGCCCCTAACCCCATTTTTCGGCTTTAATTCTCGAAATTGATTTGTGGGTTTTCTTAAAGTTGTAATTTTGTGACATGGGTTGGTTTTATTTTTGTTAATGCATTGGAAGCTTAGTGACGAGTAGTTTCGTATTCTAATCTTCTTATTGTGAATATTCTTTATAAGTGATGCCTTAATTCTTTGTTGTTTATCGTGTTATTCAGATTGCTGCGGCTATGAAGACAGAGCCTTTGAAGATCATGATATCAGGGGCTCCTGCATCTGGGAAGGGAACACAATGTGAGCTCATCAAGGAGAAGGTGGATAAAACCTTTGATAGTTTAGTGTATTTGTTTCTCGTCTGGATGCATTATTTGTGTATAACTATGTGAATGCAATTTTTTTTCACGGTGCTTGTAATTAGCCTGCACATAAATAAACGTAACGTCTTGTTCCTTCTCCTTTTTCAAAGTTCTTTCTAATAGCATAAATACGTTCTTTCTTTGAGTTTTCATGGTGGAGTAAAAAAAAAAAGGATTAGCAAATTATGATTTTCTGTTTATGGAAAATTATCTGGCTAAATGAGAAAATTCGCGAAAATGCTAAATGACAGTTTGATTTAAAATTTTCCTGTCTTTATGATATTTTAATCTTGGGGGCAAGGATATAGGTTATATGGCAACTGTCCGAGCATGTGTTAAATGAAATTGGGTGGAGTTATCCAGTTTTCTTTGATCTTCAAACCTTGTAAATGATAGCTACATCAATAACTAATAACTATGGCCCGGATATTTGAGGGCGTACTTTCACCATAAGTTTACAAAATATTTTCAATTGTCTTAGCTGCCTGCGCTGTAAATTGCTTTTAGGTGGTTGTGGTTCAATGATTGTATTAATGCACACCAATATTTGGTTCACATAGTTTCTCCCATTTAGAATCTTTTCATACTCTTTTTTTATGCCTTGAGGGTTTGCCTTTTATTTTATGCAACTATGCATCAAGCAAATTTGTACTTTCCTCGACTTCCCTCTCGAATTGAATTTTCTAAGTTAGGTGTAGGTGCATTTCAACTTCGATCCTGTCTCATGTGCTGTAGATTTTACAATTCTAAGGGATACGCTATTCAGTGATTAAAGTAGGAGATAGCTCTTGTCATAGGTGGAAATAGCTAGAAGTTTGACAAAAGATTAATTATTGCTGTTAAGTTTTCACATACTGATATCTTATAACTCATATGCATCTCATATAATCCATATTCATGAATTGCTTGCTTGATTTGAAAATGAACATTGAATCAAACAGTTCTCAAATGCAGTATGGCTTGGTGCATATTGCTGCTGGAGATCTATTAAGGGCAGAAGTAGCAGCTGGGACTGAAAATGGGAAGCGTGCCAAGGAATACATGGAGAAGGGCAAGTTGGTTCCTGATGAAATTGTTGTCATGGTATAAGAATATTACTATTTTCCTCAGTACTTTTATGGCTGTTGTTTCACTTAGATAGAGCATTCTTTTAGATGGTTAGGGAGCGACTGATGCAATCAGATGCTCAAGAAAATGGATGGCTTTTGGATGGGTATCCAAGGAGCTTATCTCAGGCAAAAGCCTTAGAGGATCTTGGCATCCGACCTGATCTTTTCATTCTCTTGGATGTAAGCATTTTCTCTCACGAAAATGCTTAGTTCTCCAATTCAACTTATGATTGATACATATATGGACTCTCTTCAGGTCTCTGAAGACATTCTTGTTGAGAGAGTGGTCGGTAGAAGACTTGATCCTGTTACAGGAAAGATATACCATTTGAAGTATTCTCCACCTGAAAATGAAGAAATTGCTGCAAGATTGACCCAGCGCTTTGATGATACAGAGGAGAAGGTTTTTCTATTAACCTGTCAATATACATATACATGGAGCTCTTTATCATAAATTTTATGATTGTTATTATTTTCATATGTTACCTTTTCTTTCAGATATATAGTCATGGTATTTCTTGGAGATAATAGTAATTTGTGAACCTTTACTCTGGACTTATGTAGGTCAAGTTGCGATTGCAGACTCATCATAATAATGTGGATGATGTGCTTTCTGTATATAAAGATGTCATCTACAAGGTGCGTCAAACTGGTAATTTTATAATTATTTCTAACTGAAATCCAGTTGGATCAATTTACTTCAAATAAACAGTTTCTGGGATCTCAAGTGCTGTGGTTAGTACCTATATGTTTTAGAGGGATAAATGAGGGAATGAATTTTTCTTGTTACCTGTTCCATGTTTTCCTAACTATAAAGAATTAAAAAAAATAAAAATAAAACACTCGGAAAAAGGAAATTTCTTCGGATAATACCAAGTAGTTCTACCATCTCTTCTAGGAATGTGTGTCCATTTAAAAAGTGAGCATCAAGTAATAAGTTCAATTATCTGGTTTTCCTTAAGTCATGTAAAGCACAGTACTGGAAAACTAATAATCAGATTAAACTTGATCTGTACAATTACAATTCCAATATACAGAACAGTTGAAACAAAAACCTAACACTTTATCCGAACCTGAAGGAGTGGCCCTGGGTCTTTGGTTAGTTTTGAAAATGCTTCATCAGTTTTTGCGAGTGCTTAGCAGCTTGGTTCTTTTTGGTAAGCAAGAAACGAATTTATCTTAAGAGAAGAAACTGCAAAAGTGTGGTTTGGAAGAATCATCTATAAACTTCATCCAGAAGATGACAGAAGAATCATTTCTAGTTACTTTCATTAGCTTTTGTTGACTTACCATGATCCACTGTTTTATGCTTTGTTGTTGATTGTTGGCATATCTAGACTATTTATTGCCCTGTACTAGAAACTGAGCTAGAAACAATTTTCTTTTACTTTATGTTCCATCCTTTTGGATCTTGGAGTTTTATTAAACTTTTACTAATGAAGAAAGACGGAATTCACTGCAGAAAGGGAGAGGCTTTGGGGGAGTACTTATTGCATATCATACAACCTACTACACAGAACCGGACTAGTTAAAAATCATATGTTAATATATGCTCTAATTAGTTTGGTTCGAGTCAGTTGTTGTATCCTGTCTTTATCGCTTATTGTAAACAAGCCTACTTAAAAACCACAATATATGAAATAAATCATTAAATGAAAATGGTTTAAGTGAGTATGTCAAAGCTGAGGCCAGGTTTTCTTGTTTTCCTCTGCATCTTCACTCTTCTTTTCTTCTTCATCTTCTTAAGTTGCAGTTTCCTATTTACAGACCAATATCTTAATCCTTTATTGTAAAGCCTACTTAAAGACCACAATATATGAATAAATCAATCAATGAAAATGATTCGAGTATGGCATGGATGAGGACTAGTTTTCTTGCTTTCCCTGCATCTTCACTCTTCTTTTCCCCCTCTTCTTAAGTTGTTCCTATTTCCAGACCAATAGCCTCATAACTGGCCATTTCAGCGTTCCTTCCATTTGCACATTACCACATCAGGTCAGACTTCATTTTTAGTTCAGGATTTCTTAGATATGTTGGGTGAATATGTTGGCTTTAACTGTGATATCAACATCCGTGTCACTTACTGCAATAATGCCTATGCCATTTCAAATTATAGTACATAGAGCCAGTAGTTGTTAGTGTTTCCTCCTTTGCTCTATGGTCCTTGTGGGGCCAATGTGGCTTCCAGTTCTGTGTGAGCATTGAGTGCTTTCATGTGTTTTTTCCTTTTAGCTATTAGAGGATTTGGGCCTCTCTTTATATTAGCATGGCAAAAGGTACCACATGCATCTGAAATAAACCAAACCAATTGTTTTTATGTTATCTGAATACCAAATACTTTTTAATTCTACTATTCATCCACTGAAATAAAGTTCATTTTGTTAAAACCCTTATATTTCACATAATTTAGACTGGCTGTTTAATGATTCTACCAAGTCGTGGAGAACCTGATTCTTGACCATGCTGGAGAACCAATTTCACACTGATTGTCCTCAACCGGTATAGCACCTGAATTGTTATATTATACTGACCCAACTAATGATCAATTAGGCAATTACTATTCGATTTTCACACAAAATTCAAATTGACCCTATATGCTAAATCTAATTGCTAGAGCACCAATTTAAAGTATAAACAAAGCAAGAAATTTGTAGTACTAAATCTAATTGCTAGAGCACCAATTTAAAGTATAAACAAAGCAAGAAATTTGTAGTAGAGGAGAAGAAAGGGTTATAGTAGGAAAAAGACTGGGATAGAGTATAAACAAAGCAAGAAATTTGTAGTAGAGGAGAAGAAAGGGTTATAGTAGGAAAAAGACTGGGATAAAGTTTGAAGAAGTTTGAAGAAGTTTGAAGAGAGATAGATAAATGCAGTATCAGTTGTATTCAATCCAAGTTTGAAATATATTGGTTATATATACCTTTATGTAAATAGAAAGTAAAGATAGAAGTATAATATTCAAATAACTCAAACAATCATAGCTTAGCTCAATTGAATTAAAAGTAATGCCTAAAATTCCCATATTTGGATTTGAACAAGGGTTTTCTTCTCTTTGCAGTGTGCAACCTCTTCATAGTTCAAACATTACTTTAAGGCTGAATATTTTACATTTTTTTTGTAACCTAAAATAAATTGCTTTGCTTTGCATAGAAATAATTTTTTTTGTAACCTAAAATTCTCATATTTGGATTTTGACAAGGGTTTTCTTCTCTTTGAAGTGTGCAACCTCTCCATAATTCAAACATTACTTTATGGCTGAATATTTTATATTTTTTAACCTAAAATAAATATTTTACATTTTTTATAACCTAAAATAAATTGTTTCAAACATTACTTTATGGCTGATGAATGTTGTTCGACCTTACATTTATATCTTTTTTCACTTTCAGGTCAATGGGAATGCTCCTAGGGAAGATGTTTTTGCTGAAATAGACAGTGCACTCTCCTCAGTTCTTGAGAAGAAGGCGAAGCTGGATTCATCATCAATGGCTGCTGGTATGGCTGGTTAGAGCTTTAGAGAGTGCATATTGTGTTGATAGTTATCATATTTAGGGCTTGCCAGTATAATGATGACATGTTTATTTACCGATAACTAAGCCTTTCCATCCTTGTTTAACTTTGAAGAAGCTACCTAGCCCCATATTAGTTTAAAGTTATTTCCTGGTTACAAAATTTTTTGTTGGTTACAAAATTTTTTGTTGGTTGTAAGTAACTTATGATTTTTCACAGAAACTTGATAATAGGATGTATATTCAACTGTTTTACAATGTTTACAAAGTTTGAAAAAAACAATCTTTTTAATTTAGCGATTCAATCTTTTTTCGATCTTTCTATAACTGTTTACAAAGTTTGAAAAAAACAATCTTTTTAATTTAGCGATTCAATCTTTTTTCGATCTTTCTATAACTCTCTGTTCTTTGTGTGTATGTGAGAGATTTTAATTTAGCGATTCAATCTTTTTTCGATCTTTCTATAACTCTCTGTTCTTTGTGTGTATGTGAGAGAGTGTGTATAAGAAATTCTAAAATATTTACCATCATGGAAATTTTGTAATGCAGTCTTTTTTCCATCTTATCACAATTATTGTGATCTTTGTGTGTATAAGAGAGAAAAGAGAAAGTGGATCTATTATTATTATAGCTCTAACTTCAAAGTCCTAGAATTTACCATCATGTGAATTTACCTCTGCAATATTAATCTCATTTTTCGATAATGGTTTGATCTGAGTGTGTGTTTGAATGAGAGGGAGGGACGGTGTAATTTCAGATTTTCCTCTAATACTAAATATTATTTTGCAATCTTTTTATCATCTTCTTGTACATCTTTTGATCTTTGGTTGGTTTGTGTGAAAGAAGAAGGGGGTGGGGGTGGGGTAGTCTTCTTCGATGAACTTTTCTTTTCTTCTCGATGCTATTCCTTTTCACAGGTTTCTCTTTAAGAATTCACTTTGCTATTTTTTTGAGTGAGTGGTAACCCTAGTGAATGGTAATCTTAGATGGGGAGTTTTCTAGGAAAGAGATGGAAGGGAACCTTAATCTGCTCCCCTCTTTTTGTAAACATGTGACACAAACTGGTGATACAGACGATGCGGTGAACAATGGTTCAAAAGTGCGTTGAGCAAATCACTACAGAGAATGTAGTGAACAATTGTCCAATGTCCAGAGAGCCTCTGTCTAATCGTTAGACTTTTAAGATAGATGAAAAGAATATAAACCATGTGAGGAAGGAGAAAAGATGCCAAACGTGATGCGAAACAATGTGATGCAGGTACAAAGATCATCGACAACAATGTTTCGCCAAATTAGCGATCGATCCAGGCAGGAAACTCAAGAATAAAGTGTAGCTCTCGATAGCTTTTAAGCAAAAGTTACGATTGTACTAAGTTCAGACCTTTGAAAATTATTCAGATAAAGAATGTAATGATTCGTTCTTTTAATACAGTTCAATTTGTAATATTTAGATCAGCAGAAATACTTAGCAACATAATCACTCGCTCACTGATCAAACTGAATACAACACAATCAATTGATATTAAAATTGAGGATAACACGCACGCAATAGTGACTCTGAAAATATTTGGTCGAAAGAAAACAAAACCTGCGTTGGTCTGAACTGGCTTTGAATCAAGTATGAGGCACTAACGGGTCCATTGTTACTGTGGGTTGGACCTGAGCTGAAATTCAAATCCAACTGAACCAGGTTGGGTCTGACCAAAACAAATCAGATCCGAGTTAAACCCGGTTTGAGTCTGCACAAAAAACAGATCATACCTGATCACTTTGTCTGCTCTATTTCGATCTGAGGAAGAGAGGGTGAAGCGACTGGGGCACGGTGGCGTTCCGATCGGTCGGCGATGACTGACTTGGCGATGGGATGAAAGCAGGTGGCGGTGGATGTAGACGGTGACAGGATGAGGCGATGACTTTCGGTGTGAATGAGGCGGCGGTGGAGTTGGACGGAGTTTGGGCGGCTGCTGGAGGAGGAGGCAGCGGCAGTGACGGCTAGGGTTTCACACCCTTGACCGTGAGGTTTCACACCATTCAGCAAATCAGGTAAATAATTTTTATTCAAATCTTCAATAATTCATTTTGATTACAAGAGCGTTTACATAGAAGAGAAAATACAGAATTAGAAGATTTCCTAAATCCCTTTAATCTCTCATAATCACTCAAATCTCTCATAATCAATCACAATTAATTAATTAGTTACTAAAACTAATTAGCTACCAAATCAAAGTTAAAATTCAAAATTTCAAATTTCAAAAATTCAAAATTCAAATTACTATTACAACTAAAAATCAAAACCACAATGCTAAAACACAGCGCCTCCTGCGCTGATAAACTCTGCGAAAATCTCGTGCACGCGTCTGGATGTCCTCATCATTCTCCCCAGGTGGGAGAGAACTCGACCCAATCGAGTGTAAAGCAGGACGATTGTTATACTGCTCAAGAAGATTTGGATCCAGTCTCTGTAAGTCACTCCTATCGAGCCAAGTATCATCAGACTCAGGTCGTCATTTCCAACGTACCAAGTACCTACGGATACCATCATCGCTAGTAGAGACAATGTCATCATTAATAATATCATCAATGTCATGTGCTGTATATGGGGGCACTGTTTTAAAAAACCTCCGCCTAGTCTGCTTAGGCGTACGCCTAGGCCTAGACGGTACCTAGGCCGCCTAACTAGCGCCTAGCGCCTAGGCGGTATTTAGACTGCCCACCTAAATTTTACGAGCGTTTAAGGGAGCATTGTCTGCTTACGTGGATTGCAGTGCACCATGTAGGGCTTGATTGTGATTTTATGTGTCGTAGCCTACACGTCCTACAAACTCCATTAACCTTCAAATATGAACACATTTACTATCTCCTCCGACCTTCAGCAAAACCTCATCGACCACCACTTAAATGAAGAAAGAAAAAAAAAAACGTCCAGAAACCGCTTAGGCGCCCGCCTAGGCGACTAAGCGCTGGGCGCCAAGTCCGACGCCTAGAAACGCCCAGCGTTTAATGTAACATTGTATGGGGGTGATATCTGGGGAAGTGGAGGTAAAGTGGAGCTCTCAAAAATAGGCTCAAAGGTAGGCTCATCAACCAGTGGGTTGTCAGGGTTAAAATGTGGGCCTTTGTATTCTACTAAATCCTCAATATTAAAAGTTGAACCCCAATATTAAACCCTTCAGAAAGGTCGAGAACATAAGCATTATCATTAATTTTTTTAAGAATTTTAAAAGGTCCTGCACTTCGCGCATGCAACTTTTTAATAGTTCCCGGAGGAAACCGTTCCGGACGTATCCGGACCATCACATAATCACCAACACTAAATTGTTTAAACCTCCTTAGATCTGCTCGTATTTTATAGTTAGCATTGCTGTCATTGATTTTTATACTGATTTCTTTATGTAAATCATGAATGCGAGATGCAAATGCAGATGCTGACTCAGATACTCTATAATGTGTAGACACGGGGACAAGATCTATAGGTTGTCTAGGCTTGTAACCATACACGACTTCAGCTGGACTGACACCTGTAGACCTATTTACAGAGTTATTATAATTAAACTCAGCAGTAGGCAGATGTTGATCTCAATCTCTAAGATTCTCACCAACTAGCGATCGCAAAAGGTTACCTAAGCTCCTGTTGACAACTTCAGTTTGACCATCGGTTTAGGGATGAAAAGCCGTTAAGAATTAAAGCTTAGTTCCTATTTTGTGTCAAAGGGTTTTCCAAAAATAACTAGTAAATTTAACATCCCTATCAGACATAATTGTTTTTGGTAGTCTGTGTAGTTTAACAACTTCGTTAAAGTACAGTTTAGCTACATGAGAAGCGTCGGAAGTTTTGGAGCACAGTATGAAGTAGGTCATTTTGGAGAACGATCCATAACAAGGACATAATCGTGTTTTCTAATTGTTTTCGGGAGTCCTAACACGAAGCACATATTGACATCTTGCCAGAGACAATTTGGGATAAGGATTGGAGTGTACATGCCAGTGTTCTGCTTACGCTGCTTAGCTAGTTGACAGGTGTGACATCGACCCACTAGCCTAATAACATCACGTTTAATACTTGGCCAATAGAAACGATATTCAACTACTTCGACAGTCTTGTTATTCCCAAAATATCCTGCAAGGCCTCCAGCGTGTAATTCCCAAATTAAGAATTCTCTCATAGAGGTATTGAAAATACACAACTTGCGAAAATGAAAAAGATGTCCATCCTTTAGGAGAAAGCCATCAATTTCACGGGTCACTCCATCATTCAACAAAGTATAAACTTCGCTAAAATCAGAGCACGATTCATACTGCTCTTTGTCTTTCTCAAAGCCAACTACTTCCGCACTCATGATTGAGAGAAGGTGCATGCGGCGATTGAGTGCGTCGGCGGCCTTGTTCTCTACTTTCGCTTTATGTTTAATCATGTAGGTGTAGTCCTAGAGGAACTCAACCCAACGACCATGTCTAGCATTCAGCTTTATTTAGGAGTGAATATATCGAAGGGCCTCGTGGTCAGAATATATAATGAATTCTTTCGGTAACAGGTAATGACGCCAGTGACTAAGAGATTGTATCACCGCATAGAATTCTTTATCATAGGTAGAATAGCGTTGCCTTGTATCATTCAGCTTCTCACTAAAGTAAGCAACATGATGTCCTTCTTGAGATAGAACTCCACCTATACCAATACCAGAGGTATCGCACGTAATTTTAAAGACCTTAGAAAAATCGGGCAGACACATAACAGGTGCTTGCAATATTCTTTGCTTGATTTTTACAAATACCTTGGTAGTAGTTTTTGACCACTCGAACTCACCTTTCTTCAAGCAATCGGTAATAGGGGCCATGATGGTGCTGAAGCCCTTGATAAACCGACGATAAAATGTAGCGAGTCCGTGAAAGCTTCGAACATCTCTAATGCTCTATGGTTCGGGTCATTCTTCGATAGCTCTAACTTTCTTAGGATCAGCGGATACCTCTTCAGAAAAGACGACAAATCCTAGAAAAATGACTTGGTGTGTAAGAAAAGTACATTTCTTAGGATTAGCATAAAGTTGCTCTTTTCTTAACACAACACAGACTTGACGTAGATGGTCTACATGTTGCTCACGAGAGTTACTGTAAGTAAGGATATCGTCAAAGTACACCACCAAGAATTTTTCCGTGAAGGGGCGGAGTACTTGTGTCATCACTCTCATAAAAGTACTCGGAGCGTTAGTCAAACCAAAGGGCATGACCATCCATTCGTACAATCCATCTTTTGTCTTGAAAGCAGTCTTCCATTCGTCACCGGAATGGATACGAATCTGATGATAGCCACTCTTAAGATCAATTTTAGAGAAGATGGTGGCTCCAGACATTAAGTCAAGCATGTCATCTAACCGGGGAATGCGGAAACGGTACTTTATCGTGATCTTATTGATTGCACGGCTATCCACACACATACGTCATGTGCCATCTTTCATGGGCGTCAGTAATGCGGGGACCGCACAAGGGCTCATGCTTTTTTTCACAAAGCCTTTCTTCAGCAGATCATCAACTTGCCTCTTCAACTCTGCATGCTCATTGGGGTTCATCCGATAGTAAGGTAAATTGGGAAGGGTTGCTCCCGGGACTAGATCAATTGCATGTTGAATATCACGTATCGGGGGTAACTGATCCGAGAGGTCCTCAGGGAAGACATCAGAGAATTCTTCCAATACAGGAACGACTTCTGGGGGAACCACATCGGCAATATCCTTAGGAGCTTCTCTAGCAGCGAGGGCGAAAATGGGAGCTCCATTAGCCAGTTCGCGATCTATCTCTTTGGCTCCAATTAGGTTAACGCCTCGGGAAGGCTTGTCTGGATCGGGCTTCTTGTCACTACCTTTCTGTTGAACCTGAAGGATCTTGACCTTCTCCCCGTCATGCTCGAACAATAGCATGTTGGATCACCCGAAGATATGAACGTCGTTATCATATAGCCATGGTCTCCCAAGAATAACTTGACCCACATCCATCTTCAGAACATCGCACCAAACATTGTCCTTGTAAATGGCAAATTGAAGAGGGACTAAACATCTCTCTTGGACATGAAATACAGTGTCATTAATTCATGACGCCTTGTATGGATTGGGATAGGGTACAGCCTTAAGGCCAAGCTTGGCAATCACAGCTGAGGAGACCGCATTAATACAGCTTCCACTGTCCACGATCGCTTTGCACTTCTTATCTCCAATCTTTATGAACGTGTGAAAGATAGTGGTACGTCTCCA